AGTAAAAGGGTAAGTTCGGTATTTTGCTACCTGGACCCTGTTTTCCAATGTTTTTATCTCTGTGACTAATTGGGGCAACGTTTTTTGAAATTGGTACTGTATTGAACGAGTACGCTACAGTCGGCAGCAGTGAAACAGGGCTTCAATGTAATTCTTGCATGTAGTTGCTTTTTAAGTAAAGTAAGACCCATTTTGATTAACCTGAAACAGTCGCTATATCGCTCCCTTGTCCAAAGCCAAAGTTTTACCTCTCTGTATGTGTATAAAACAAGGGAAACACTTAAGTTAAAAAGGGAAATAACATTGAGGATTGGGTAGAAATACAAAGTAGCATAAAGTATTTCCAGTGTTTACTGCCATCCACTACTGCAGTCTCTACTAGTGACATTCTGTAAGAGCAGGTGGTTTAATGAGCTTGAATAACAAACAACATTAACCGTGAAGTAGGCACAAACAAAAGTTGTGTAAATTTCTTAAATATTTCTTCAGACAGTTAAATCCTTGTTATTAATTTCATGTTTTCATGGTTCAAATATTTCTCATGGGGGGATGGTGAGAAATTTGTTTTTAGGCACTTGTTTTGTCTATTCCAAGGCAGACTGCCAGTGACTAATGGCATCCCGGCCAGTGCTCTTTGAGGACATGTTTGTGTTTTTCTTTCCTTCCTTGTGTGTTTCCATCATACTGTCTGGGTTACATTTTTCTTCATGTTATTGTTTTTTTCAGGACATCATAATCAGCTTTATAGCCAAGTAGGTTTATACACACAAGGAATTTGCTGTGACTTGGTGAATAACAATAATGGCAATGACAATATATAAACATTGTAAACAATATATAAAAGAAAATAACATCATATAGTATAAGCTAAATTTCTCTTGTTTGGTTACTAAGGTCAAAGATAGTGGTTCATGACATTTTATGATAAGCTTAAACTTCATTCTCTAATAGCATCAGTTTTTTTATCTAATTGCTGTCTCCACACTAATTCTATGATATAATTTAAATAGTGCACAAAGAGTCCTTTTACTCATGGTAATTCCCACATTATGACTGCAAATTATGTTTTGTCTTTGGAACTGAATTTGTGCCTACAAGAGTTTTGTCAAGGTAAACAATATTAAAACTCTTTCAGTGTGGAAAATGACTATGTCATCAAGGGGAGGAAAATGGCCATGCCATGACAGAAACAGTTTCTGGTGACGAGCACAAGTCAGTGGTAATGGTCTTTCAATAAAGAAAGAGAATGAGCTTCCTGCTATAGTTATTGCAGTCTTATGTTTCAAAAGGATTCAAAGCTCAAACCCTATTAGTCCACTGAAATGAACCAAACGGGTCCCAGTGGGTCACTCAACAGACTAATGAGACTTGATGGGCTTGTGGTGTTGGACATTACTGCTTTCTGTGGCTTATAGCTCTGACTTGTGTATTTGCAGTCCCACAGCTATTACACTCAGCAATTATATACACACTAGTCTCCAGAGTGGCCCACCAATGCCTAAATTACAGTCAGTGGATAAACCACGGCAAAGTAAGAAAATAAAATCACTCGAAAGGAACTTACCAAATGCTTTGGCCAGCAAAACTAGGACTAGAATTGAAAACATCTCTTTGGAAATAAAGGTCCCCTTGTTTAATATCCTTTTTTTTGTTTTTGTTTTTGTTTTGTTTTTTAAGCACATTTAGTTTTCCTTTAGTAAAGAAATAGTAGAATTCAGTGCAGAGATAACTTCTAGTAACTGACTGAGTAATTTAACTTTATTCATTATTAGAGATTATAGGATAACAAATGTTTGATTCCCACTACTTCCCATCTAAGTATTACATTAAGCATTATATTTTGGAGAAGAACTCACTGAATGTTAATGGCAAGATTTTGATCAAACTGTGATATGCATGCTGAAATGCTGCTAATGATCTATCACTGGCTTTAGAGAGTGCTGTACATTTCACATTTCAAAGCTTAAAAAGGTTTATCTGGACAGATAGTCAGAGTTGGTCAGAAGGGTAGAGCCTGGCAGGTTTTCTTCCAGTGTCCAGCCATAACATTACACCATGGCCACAGCTGCTGTGTCGCCGCTGATCTGTCCCCAAGAAACATGATCCTGTTTATAATCTGACCATCATTTGGATGCCGACTGCCAGCGACGCCAGACCCGTGATTTACCCCAGCGCGTGTGTGCGCTGTGTGTTTCTCAGAGATAGATTTACGAGGGCATACTGTATGAGGGTGAAGATTAGGTCTTGAGGGACTGAAAGTATCGCACGACACATAGCTTGATGTATTCCCACAAGTAAAAGCACTTCCTTCTCACCAGTGTTAATTGTGTTTGGATACACTCACATGGTGGTCAAATTATAGTATACTGATGCTTATTAATATTAGAGGGTGAAATATAGAACTTATGCTTGTTGCTGGAGAGCTCTTATAACGATTATTGAAAGACTGTTTATGTGTTTTGACATAAATGGCACCACCTGTGTTGCTTATGCCACACAAGTCCAAGCACAATACGCACAACCCCTATATGAGAAAAGCTGTTACAGTTTCAGCATGTTCACATGTATGTTAATGTTAGCTTTCCATCTAGTGCCACTCATCACTAGAGCCAGCTGCTAAGGCAGTTTACACATTCTTGTCAGAATATGGTTGCGTGCCTTCTCCAAAATAAGCCCCTGTAAATTATCAGGACTTTCAATCAGAGTGTTAAGTGTTGAAGCAATTGTCCAGCAATGATTTACCATTTGTATTGTCAGTTTGTTCATTTATTTATTAAACAGGGACCATGCACAATATGTACTGTACCAGATATAGCTAAAAGCTAATTCCCATCTGCAGTCTTACCCTGTAACAAATGCTAAGAATGATTAAACATGAGTTTAAGCACAAACTGCTAACCTGGGTATGTGTTTTTATCCTTACATAGACTTTATGTCTAGGGGAGATCTCCACTCATTTATGCAAACACAATGTGTGTGACTTTTTAATGTACTGTTGTGTGATATAATTTGTACAGATTTACTTACTTGACACACTGAAGGCGTAGCTGAAACATCTGTGCATTTTACTCCCCTGTGCTTAACATAGAAATCGAAAGAATATAATTAAAAAGAGCATTCTGATTGATTTGGTAGTTATATATTTGCCAATTATATTTGTGACTTTGTCCTCTTTCTTTTTTATTTCTTTCTTTCTGTTACATCTACGGTTAAGTTACTGAAATCATCCTCAGTCATAATATCAGTATATAAGAATAAGAGTTCTGGAGTCACCTATTCTAACATTTGAACAACCGCTACTTTATATCACATTCCCACAACTTCACAGCAATATCTATGTGTGTGGTAAGGCAAAGTTAGCCATGTGTAAGTCATAGTTATTTACATACCAGACATGTATGATCCCTTTTGCAGCCACTGGATGCTCTCACTTGTAGTATCTGTCATACGCACTAAGTCCTGTGATGACACACATGTGCCTGCATTCACACAGCGATGCAACAGTCTGTGTTGTGCCTTTTGGCTTTTGATGTGTGCCCCATTCATATCAATCATGCATGCTACTGCAACAGTTCCAAGAAGAGGTCTCCGCATAACAAGAGGCAGGCATCACATATTGGTATAGTTAAATAAACATGGCGTTTTGTATTATTTATCATTTACCATTTAAGTTATTTATGTTTCATCTATGTGCTGTAAGCATCTGCTAAGGTCATTCAAGTCTCACTCAGCAGGAAGAAGTTATGTTCCCACATTTGGATTCCATGGGTTTAGGCTTTGGCTTAAACATCTTTTTGAACATGACAGGCACTATGTGTTGATTTAATTTAACCTCTTACTTTTTTGTACAGTGATGCATAGTAACTCAAGTGAAAGAGAAGTGAAAGTGTATAAGTGACCAAGCTCAGCCCTGGTATTTAGCACTTCCACAGCTCTTATGAGAAGATAATAGGAGCCCTTTTGTAGCTTATTTCCTTTTTTAGCTACACCAAATCACAGACAGTTTCAGCACAGTACATTTCTGTTCACATAAAAAACACTTATTTAAAAACAAGACACCCATTTTACCTGTTAGATGTCCATTCAGCAGTTTAAAAGTTATACCTATAAGATTTTAAGCATTCCTAATCATTTTGATCAGTATCCGTTGGTCATTCATATCAATGCCACATTATCCATGTATCCATATTCTAATCCTTCTGTCCCATTCAGTGTTGCTAAAGCCTATCCTGGCACATTTTGGGCAGGAGGGCAGGCACACCTTATGTTGATAGTCAACCAGAGATTTGTGCCACCTTAGCCTGATAAGCAGACTGAATAGACATTTCAGATAACTTCACATGAATCAGTGAACAAATCCGAGATGTGGTTGGTAGTTCCAAGGTCTGAAATCAGGCTAATTAAACCTTATATTTCCTGGAAAATCACAAGTGCAGTTAATGATTGAGTTCATTACTAGGTTTGTCATATTTCATGTCCAGGGGGTCGATATTTCAGCCCATAGGTTTTCTGAATATTGGAAAATTCAATGTGTGAAAAGAGTTTAAAATTGAGCTGACTTGCAGTCAGTTGCAATATGTCAGCTCACAGCAGACCTACTCCTAAACATCATTAATCTGTCCAGAGTTTCCCTGCACAGAGGTTTTAGCTCTTTAGGTGGCGTTATTTGAATCAAAGAAAATCTAATGAACTAGTGGGCTGCAGGAAACGGGCAACTTTCCAAAATAAATGGATTTCTAAAATAATTGCTTATGTTTGAGATTCAATATGAAAGAGTTTTACACAAAACAGTGTTGCGTCTGTAATTGCAATAACTGTCATAATATAATGTGTTTTTTTGTAGCAGTCTCATTAAGATAATTTTGTAGATGTAAATCACTTGAAAGGACAGTAACTTTTGCTCTGTTTTAGAGGGTGAATCAGCTGTTCTAGAAAATATTCATTGTTATTTGGGATTATTTATATTATTTGTTTGTCTGAAAACTTTGTTTTTTTTCCAGGAAGGTGTGTCCCCCTGCAGTAGATCAGTAAGAAGTGCTCTTCAATATGAATACAGGTATAAAAGTATACGCGTGTGTGTACACACACAAATACTCTCTCTCGCTTGCGCACACACACACACACACACACACACACACACACACACACACACACACACACACACACACACACACTGTATGACATGTTCATGTCTGGTGGGGAATCATCCATCATCATCGTCCATGTCCATTATTATGTTTTCATTTTTGCAGTGTATCTTGTATTTCACAGTACAGATTAAATAAGCATGAATCTATTGTTTACATTTTATACTTGTGTAAATGTGGAAACTTATATTTCTACATTTCAAACCGCCTACCTATTTAAAAGCCGGTATGTGTGCTAGTTTTCCGCTACCGCAGTCATGAGACTATGGTTTTATCCCTGACTCTGTTTCACCACATTGGTGTTGGTCCATTTTGGGCCTGGGTTATTGTGACTGAAGGCATCAAGTATAGTAGCTTTGTTGCTTTTAACCACAGTGACGTATTCCTCCTTCAATACATTTGCAAGACTCTGTCCTAAACTTGGAAGTCATCCAAAGCTGAAGTGAGTATTTCAGCCGCACAATCAATGATGAGTAATCCATCTTTGTGCCTTCTCTACACACCACACACCACCACTCTGTGTGGCTGCCAGTGGTAGCCTGACTCTTAGTTGTTCGCCTGCGTTTACAATACAGATTTTCTTTGTCATGTGTTGAAAGACAAGAAATAAGAAAGAATAATACAAAATTATTTGACGGAGAAACAAAACAAGATTGCCTTACAGAAGAACTACAGCTTGTTGTTTTACTAAAAATGAGTGTAGGCATTTTACTACATTAAGTTAGAGGTGTTTCATAAGTATTTCAGCAGACCGGTAAACAGAGTTTTTAGGATATTTGTTATTAGAAATTTTATACGATATTGACACTTTATTTCTCCACTATTAACAAATGTCCCCCATGTTATGTAAATGCATCACATTATTCTTATCAAAGTCATGACACTTCCTGTTGTCATAAGCAAACTGTGTCTGACTGAAAAGTTAGGCTAATGTAAGCTAATGCCATGCAGCGTCTTCAAACCTCTACTTTACAATTACACTTTGTAATTGTTCTGTACACCACTTTCACTGCATATCCTGAGCTCATGCAGTAAAGATCAGGCTGTTTAAATGCACGTGCTTTGCCTCCATTTGTTTGCGTTATGTTTCTGCCTGAGCTCATTTGTACGGAGCTAGATCAGTCTCAGTATAAATGAATGTACACAGACGAATTCAACAAAGTCAATTAAAAAATAAGGTTTACAAATATTTTTGCCTGCAGTGAAAAATATTCTTCTGGGAAGAGTGGTTTTTTTTTATGTATATAAATCCCAAAATAAATGTGTGAATCCTTCTCTGTGCATCCATTAATATTGATTGATCTGACTCCATACACCTGTGTGTGTGTGTGTGTGTGTGTGTGTGTGTGTGTGTGTATTCGTGTGTGTGTATTCGTGTGTGTGTATTCGTGTCTTTGTGTGTATATATATGCATGTGCATGTGCGCTGCTGCTTCTGCTTGTATGACCACCTGCCTGGCTATGATTTCTCAGATAGCGGAGGATTCGCTCGCAAAAGTGTGGGCTTGTCACTCATACTCTCTCCCATGAAGAGGGTCCAGAGCTCACCAAATCTAGGCACAGGTACTAACACTCACAAACACACTATAAATCAACATGTTTCAACAAGAAGAGCTAAATAAGTAGCAAAATTCCAGCAGGCAACTTCAGGTACTGACTGGACTAAACGGTCAAAGCGTGAGGTAAGTCTAAAATGTGCCTTGTTGTTCTTCAGAGCCATGTTTAGGCTTTATCAACCTGATGTGGCTTTAGCATATTTGAAATACTTTTAAATAGGCTGCGGCTGACTCAGTATGCTTAAGAAATTTTTGGAATGCGGGATTACATTTTTTTCTAATCAGTTCATTGTACAATTCTTTTGTTTCCTTTTGTTTAGTCTCTTCCGTCTTGGTCTTGTTTTTGCCTACTAAATCAGTCATATGTCATACTGCACCTCCCCTGTTGTTGATATCTTTCCTTCCTTTTGGCAGCTCTCATATATCATGCTCTCACACTGCTTCATACCATTTCCCCCTCTTTATGGGTAGTTTATTCTACTCTTCCTGTTGTCTTACAGTTTTTGAATCACTGTTTTTCCTTACTCTTTCTCCTCAGTCAACATTGATTGTTTAGACATGGCACAGCTCCCTTGACCCTGAGCTCTTGGAGAATGTGGAAATGCCCTTGAATGGGCTTGCTGTGTTGACTTATGTTGACTAAATGGCACCACTCTGCTTTATTCTTCCTGATCAGTGTTTCAGTTTCATGTAAGCAAACATACAACAGATCTGCTGTATGTATAAGCTCCCTTGTTCTAAAATTGCTACTTATTTTTGTCACACTTAATTAAACCTTAGAGAGATTAGGGAAGACCTAAAGGTAAAGTATTTTCTCAGCTTCCAGAGGCTACAAGCTGCCTGTCCCTTTCCTCTGCTGAAAGAGCAGTGTTTGTGCCTGAACATTTTCAGCATCCAGGTTAACAGCTGCACCCATGTAGACATTCTAGCACTGTCAGCTTAATTAAACAATAGTAGGACACTGTGTGAAACTGAGATGCTGTTCAGATATAGAAGGAGTAGTTCTGATCAAACCACCCTTCAGCAACTAGAGCATAAAGCAAGTATTATACTTTCCGCTTCCACGAGTACGAAAAAATCGTCATCACGGGGTGTACGCGTAGGCTCTGTGCGGACATCCGTGTGCCTCCCGTTTTTTGTGACCCACTACGCTACCAGGGCACCAACCAATCTCCTGTGCATGTGTGCAACGAGTCCGCAAAGCTGACTCCAGATAGTAGTTAACAGAAGTAGTCCACATCCGCAGCTGTCCGATACTTCTGGTTTAAACCTTCGATTCAGTTTCAATGGGTGTATTTCCCATAAATGTGGCTATTGTGGCTTGTGCTAACTTGCACTTGCCAACATATATTTGGGGGCTTGTGGGCAAGCTGCACAAGCCCCCAAAAGCTTTCTAAATATCTAGGCTTTTTTATATTAATCATTTTAAACTCTGAGTCTAACTGAAAAGAAACGGCATGAAGCCACCTGAAATGGCCATTAAGACCACACACTCTGTGCTTATTTCTGTATCAGAGTCAGAATCTGTTAATAATCTATAGAGGTGTACCCACTGTATATAAAGAGCAACCTTCTGAAGTAAGCCCACTTTCATACAAATAATCTATTGCTATATCATTCATTTATGCTGGTAATGCTGTGAGAGTTTTGTCTTTAGAAATGTGTATATGTCTTTGGCAACAGCATCTTGAACCTTGAATGCTAACCAATTGTTAGTTTGCCCAATGAATTAGTGTGGCTTTCTTGTTTCCATCTTCAAAGGTTCACAGTAAAACTACATTATCTGGTAATGGTACTATCTGGTACTAATAACCATAAGCATCACTAGCATTAGTATTAGAAGCAGTAGCAGTTGTTCATCGTGATCACGTGGATCATGTGGTTGCAGACTTATAAGAAAGTGGTTGCTAATTCAGAGAGTTCTTGTGAATGCTAAAAGCTGGCGATATTGTGTAACACGTCAGGATAAGTCATGCAGTCCTTAAGAATTGTTCTGTTCTGTGCTTTTTCCTCTTCGGTCTGTGTCTTTTCAGCCCTGTGTTAACTCCTTTAACCCCATCACCAAGTCTCTGTCATACAAATCATTCCAACAAGCATTTTGTGAGATGATGTCTACTTAGATGTAATCTTATGCATTAGTATTGAGATTTGTAGCAGGGATGAATGTGATCACACATTGAGTCATATCACTGATTATTGTTGTGTCTTCTCTCTTCCCCAGGGAGTGATTCTCACTCATCAGACTTGGGTAAGTCTCTGTTTCTTTTGGTGACTTGAGGTGGAGAATCTTGACATTGCACGTGACAATAGAAGCTTTGAAACACCCAATAAGAGAAAGGAAACTTATTCAAAACCCAAAGCAGTGTGTGATGTTAATATTATTATTTTTCTTCAGATTCTTGGCGGTCACGCAGTGCAACAGATGGCCTCAAGAATGGAGACGCCAGCAGCTCATCTCTTGCTGCCAAAGGCTTCCGCAGCGTCAGGCCCAACCTACAGGACAAAAAATCCCCAACACCGGTAAAATGTCTCGCACACCACACTCACAGATGTTGACATTTTCCATTTTTTCTTTTTTAGTTATATTTAGATTTTAATTTAAAAAATTGTGTTTGGCTTGTAAAGGTATAAGAAAATTGGTATTCTTAATCATACCACAAACCACCATAATTATGGATAATTAACACAGAACTATGCTATATTATGTCTTTGGAACAACTTGATGATTGTATAAAAGCTTTCCACTGATGATTTTTGTTGTTGTTGCTTGAACTTCTTTTGGCTGTTGCATTCTAATTGGCCAATCAGGATATCAATCACGTGCCATTGCCACCCCCCAGGAGAGAGAGTTTCCACTTATCGCCCACTGGCACTAATCCACCAGACTACAGCTCCCTCATTGCCCTGGCTAATGATTTTAGCCCTGGAATGCTAACGTTCACTCAGAATGAGAAAACTGTTTTAAAAGAGTCCTACACTATTAGTAGTGCATCTTCTTACTCCTACTCAGAGACAAGTACAAACCCAGTCCAACAGGCACATCAGTCCACTGTCCCAAGTTATGTTAGCAACTCTAGTGGATCTTCCACCACTAATACACAGGCCCAGGAGCGTAAGGTATCTTCCCTCAAATTAACCCCTGTTACCATCGCTGACCCCCCAGCTCACCTCAACTCTTGCCTTGACCCCCAACCCCCTCCATGCACTTCCCCACCTCCACAAAGGTATCCCACCATGTCTCAGCCCCTAACACATGCAGCCACACTTTCTGTATACTTGGGTCCTGAGAATATAAAACATCGAGAGCCTACAAACAACACAGTGGAACTCAAGGTCCCAGATCAAGCCCCAAATGAAAGCCCAAGTCCAGCTCCATCCCAGGTGGAGATACCGAAGGCTCCTCCTGCAGTTCCACCAAGACCCTCTGCTGCAGAACTGTTGGTACATAACTGACTACATATTCTAACAATATACCAAAAAAAAAGCAATGATTGTGTTCATTTTAAGGTCACTATAATACAACATCCCTGCGTTTTTATCTTGGTGACATCAAGAGTGAATAAAGGGTAACACACTGGCACACCGTGGCACACCATGAACACACCATACAAATAGAAGAAGTAGTCAAGGTACTGTAGCCGGGATGTGCCAAATTCTGTGGCACAAAAGTGATTAAATTGCTTTGTTTTTCTGGTGTTGTGATGCACACGAACACTGGGAATTCTGACAGTGGTGTTCCTTGAAGCCACTCGTGTTTGGCTTTACATAGAAAACATAATGCACGTCATATGCTGCTTATGTGTGTTGCCCTTTAGTTTGTTAGTCTTGGTGCTGCCATCCAACCAACCAAACTAATTGGTTCTTCAAATGTGTGAGCTCATACTATATGTGCAACACACAACTGTTTCATTTATTTTTTTTAACACTGTAACTGTCTGTGTACTTTATTTGCTGCCTTCCACAGAGTTTGAACTAACAGAGCCTCGTCGATTCACAGCATTAGTCATGTTTCAGAAGATGATGCTGCAGCCTCATTACACTTCAGTGTGGTTTCACAACAGCTTTTCACCTTCTGTTAGGCTCATATGTTACTTCCACACATCCTTTGTGACAGTGTGGCTAATGAGTGATATCACTAAGCACTCTCCTCCTTTCCTCCTTCCCCAATCAACTCCTTCTCCCTCCAACACCAGGGACCTCCCTCCCCCGACCACACAGCACAGCACTCCCCTTATCGCTACCACAGCTCAGAATCACTCGACTACCTGTCAGGCTTAATGCCCAAGACTCTATCGCCCACCCCGTATGTTCCTAGTGGAGCTGGCAGCACAGCTGGCGCAGTCAGTGGGCCGAGCTTTACCACAGTCACCAGTGCGAGCATCTTTGGCTGCGTATCACCCTCGGCTTCCCCCGTGACGGTGTCAGCTCTCAGCCACTACTCGTCATCCACAGCGGGTCTGCTGGACGAGCTGCAGATCTGTAGCCTGGACTCACCTGGCGCCTCACCCACGCCGTCGCCCACCCTCAGCCATGTCTCTACCTACACTTCCACTGCTGGCCCTGATGATGTGCTAACAACCTCTGTGGCCTCCACTGCGGCAGCAGCCACTGTCACTAACGTAATTATCCCAACAAGTCACTGCTGTAACACCATCATTACCAAAAACAAATGGTCCCCTCCCTCTCCCAACTCATTTGGATGGCTGAACCAAACCTTCACAAAATGTGTTATTACTACCGATTTTTTACCTTTTACTAACCATCAACTACAACCCACCTCTCAGATCGAGCATTTAATTCAGCCCACTATGTTCCCTTATTATGTTAATGTGTCTGTACTCATTAGAACTCTAAGTGTGTTTGTCTTTGTTTCTTTTTGTTATGCCTTTTCTTTTGCAATCCAATGCAATCATACTGTCTCTTAAAGGCCAGTTCTTATCAAACATGTATGATCAGATAAAACCGTTTTTCAGAGAAGTTGTTGCAGGGTGAAGTTGGAAACAGTTGGCTGCAGGTTACTGGTATCTTTAAAGACTAAACGTGTCCAGGGGTAATAGGAGGGTGTAATAATGTAATATGCATGAGGATTGTAGCTATGTTTCCTGTCAGTTCATTATATTGTCCGGGGAATCAATGTAAGGGACGCTGAGAAAGAATAGTACATCTCTGGATTATGGCATAAATTTCCATGTTGACCTTGTTTTTCCAGTTGTAAAAATATTTTCCTAGTTTCCCGTCAATTAAAGGTGCAGTTGTCACTTTTAACTCCAACCATACATTCTGTCCCACCTACAAAGGTTCTGATTTTCATGGTTGCTTCTCCAACCCAGGGAAGAGCCGTTCACAAGAGCAACCAGACTTTTGAAACTTTTGAAAATTTGAGACAGTGGCCAGTTATTCACTGGTCCAGACTGGAGCCATGTTCTAATGGCCAGCTTCAAACACTTGGTCTGGGATTATTAGCTCTGGCATTATAATCACAGTAACAGCAGTCACGGTCATTGAATTATCCACTTTACTTTTAGAACTACACAAGGAAGATGTAGGACTAACATTGTGTCTACACAGGAGGCGTAGCAAGAGCAGAAGGTTAGCAGAGCACCAGCTTCACTGCTTTGTCTTTGTCTCTGCTGGATGCGTTCAGGCATGGTACTGAGTCTAGGTCACCCATGTTTTAGCAGCACTCATAGCCCAATGAGCATAAAACGGAAAGAAGTAGACTCGAAGCATAAAATATACAGTTACACGTCGATGGTGCAATATGCAAGCTGTTACGTGGCCTTTAGACAGCTGGATTGTTTAAAATAGAAGCGTATCTGTTCCATCAGATACATGAGAGGGACGACTGAATAAACACGGCTGAAACGTGTTGTCAACACAGTGTTTGTGGGTTGCTTTCATGTAAATAATGTGGAATTTCCTTTTGCTAGGTACAGTAGTCATTGGTTTTAGAGCTATCATCATGGTTTTAGAGTCTTTGATCTGAACACACAGGCCTTTAAATTAAAATACTGTTTTTATCCTTTGTCAGATGAAATCACATGTTCCCGTGTCATATTGAATGGGAGAGCATTCTTCAGAAGAGCCTCCCATTGTAACTTTATCATGTCCATTGTCTTGTTTATGTCAAAACTAATCCATAATGAAATGTTTGTGAATCTGGAAAAGTTATATTTGTTTACCGTCACTGTTTTAATCTCTTCTGTCTGTTTTGAAGTGAAGTGATTCGTTAAGTGCCCCTTCCTTTCCCTCACTAACTGTTATTACGTTGTACAGTCCCTTCAGATTCAGCTAATCCTATGAATCACAACAGCCCCAGTATCTGTCTACATGTACATTACTTTCCATACTAGGTTCCTCTACCCCTTTAAATCGCTGATAGCAATATGATGACTAATAATGGATTTTAATAAATGAATAATTCTCTTGTTTTTTACCATTACACTCTTTAGTTATCTGGTCATGTAGGGCAGAACAAGAACATTCTCCACTATAGTAAATGGTAAATTCGAATTTGTACATTTTGCTGACATTTGAGATTAGTGTCGGCTAATTATCTCCGTTTCTGGCTTGTGGGTCACTCCTAGGGCCAGGTCCTCTCTCAAACTATGAACGGAAGCACTAGCCATCCGCAGAGGCCCCTCTCTCCCCCGTCCTATCCTCCTCCCCCCGCCTCACTCCACACTGGGCTCCAGAGACAGAGCAGGAGTTCAGGTGAGTCCCTGATCTTTTTTTCTTTTTATTTGAGCCAAGGACACCACATTTTTTATAACAATCTTTTGAAAATATCTCTGCTCACTATAAGAAAATCATCCACATGCATGATTAGGGAAGTCATGATGCTTTGACAAGTACATTACATATTTGCTTCAGAACATCCTGCTCTCCCTAAGAACCTACAACAAAGAAAAAGCATTAAACCGGTCTTGGTTGCATATCATATTTATAAAACCTGCTAAGTACTTTTAAGAACTGATGAATGCCAGGATATGATATGTGTACACCCATTAGTAGAAGACAGAACCATTCAGTTGTGGAGCACAGTAAGAAAATCATCACTACAAAATGGTGAGAAATAGAATGGTTGTTCTTGTACTACTACCATGATCTTGAAGCATACAAAAAAGCAGTTAGTCTTAGGATGATTTAGTGTTTGCTTGTTCAGCTGGTGTTGGTGCCTGAACATGGATTTCTGTTCTATTTCTGATCATTATTAGTAAGTTCAACTGACAGTGTGTCTCTCTTTTCTCTCCTCTTCCTCCTTATATCTAGAGGGTAGCGAGTCAGTTACCAGAGAGTCTGTGGTGTCGGGCCACACCAGCGTCAGCAGCACGGTGCCCATTGCCCGCTTCTCAGAAGAAGAGAAAAGGGTGTCCGTAATTAAAGCCCCTCATTATGAAGGCATCGGCCCCGTGGACGAGTCTGGCATCCCTATTGCCATCCGCACGGTGAGGTCAAACATACACAGAGCTAAACACTTTGGTTAGCTTCAGACTGGCTCAGTTAGGTACTGTAGTGTTGCACTGGAGTATCTCTTGGCCCATTTCTGTTGTCTTGATATGTGATCAGGCTCATGAGAGGGAATTACTTTCAGCTGTCAGCAGCTTTTCACCCATATTAAAAGCCCTTCCTGTCTCACTCCCCCATCTCTCAGTGTTTCTTTTACTCTCCCTCTGTGTGCTAGTTAAAAAGATGAGCTCAGACGAGGTCTTTGTCAAGTAAGCAGCGAGGACCTTGCAGTGCTAAAGCCTGTGACTGTGTGTTTTCTCTAAGGCATTTCATATATTAACACTTCACTCAGCTATACATTTCTTCAACAGCAGTGTTTAAAGGCAGACATGTTGATGAGTGAGCAATAGAAAGTTACTGAAAAAACAGATGCTTTTTGTTGTGAGCAGAAAAACATTTTTGTGGGCACTTCTTTTAGTAACCGTGGAGAGTGAAGTGGTAATTGGCCGTGCCACTGCTACATGCTCGGTCACACACACTCCTTCACTGTGGAGCCAAACTACCTCTTCTCTGACCAGAGTCCAGACACAGTGTTTAGTGCTACTGAATAAAGAGAGGATTAAGTCTCTCTGCCATTTGATAGCTCTTTTTTGAAGTGGCTGTTGTCCATACTACATACACAAAGACACACATACCAGGGTTTCTCCTGGATTTTGCACGCAAAGCATCAAAAGCTCCCACTTTAGTTTTGTAGCAACATGGCTTCTTTATCCTCTGTGCTGCGAAACAAAACCTGCTGAAATCAATTTCTCTAAACGCCATAGTACTTTATCAAGTTACTGATAACACTGTTATGCATTTGTTTTGCTGTTTTGGCTATATGTTTGGCTTTTGTGGCAACATGGAGGATGTCTGAAAGCTGAAATATCAACTTTACACACAATTAGATCTTTTGAATGATGAATAAGCATCGTGTTTTTTTTTTCACTTCTTTGTTAGTAAGCAGGGAAAACGTCAGACTGGCCGAAGAACACAAAAAATATACCACACTGTACAATATGCAGTGATTGAATGCAACATATATTTTTCTCTTGACGTCACAGTGAAACCGAAGGAAGAGCGTCTTTATCTTCTGTAATGTGACCTATTTCCCAGCGAAAAAGGATATGTACACAAGGTATAAAGACAAGAGGGATTTAAATCAAATCCTTCAGGTTTGACTGGGTTGCCATAGGACACCTCCATCACCTGATTCTTAGATCAGGAGGAGGAGCAGGGAAAAATTAATTAATTAAAACTTCAGCCACATTATTTGGAAAAGTAAACAAACTCTTCCCCAACTGATATCCAAACACATATCCTACTATGACATTGCTCTACTTCCTACTACAACCCAAGAGCTAATAGACATGTATGGATTAATAGGTGTGGCTTGTTGCCCCAAATCACATTTGATTGGATAAATGTATACTTCCCCATGTTTAAGATGAGTAATCAAAAACATTTCATTGTTTTACAGAAAAAGAAAGGAGAGGCATTTTGATATAAACATACTTAAAAAATGTTTACTTTTTACACATATTTCACATATAACATAAGTAACACATGATTACTTGGAAAATGTATTTTTCTTTGCACTGCCTCTTTAATAGATGTCTTCGATGTGCAGGTGATGACAATGTCAATCCACTTTTCAGTTTACAGTCATGTTATATAGCTGATAAATAGATTGTATATCTTAATAAGACAAATTAAGAGAAGTTACCTTGAATTAAGTTAAAAAGCCTGATGCTAATGATTTATGACATGATCATTTATCGTTGAAAAGAAAAAAAGGAGACTTGGTCATTCTTAAGTCATCCTATTTTTTTCACTGAACAAGCTTAATCAACATTTCTTAAAAGCATGGTATGGAGAATGACTCTAAATATGATATGACTGAATCTTATAAATAATTTATTCATGTCTCAGCAAAAGTTAAATTATCTGTTAGGGAAATATGGATCTGAGAGGCTGTGTGTTTTTCTCTACTCCTATAAAACAGCGGGAACCCTTTCCACATTCTAATTTCAGCTATGCAGTTTATATTGCATTTCACAGCACATAAATCTTTATGATTATTTCTCTCTACACAGACGGTGGATAGGCCTAAGGATTGGTACAAAACTATGTTCAAACAGATCCACAAGGTTCACAAAGCAGGTAAGTCTGGACCAAAACACACTAAACAGCAGAAATGTCCCATTATTTTATGTGATCTGATCATCAGACATTATGAGCGGAATTGGTCATGCATGCAAGTGTGTATCTTTGTGTCTGTGCATGTCAATTATTGTTAAATCAAAAACTCATGAGCCATAACTCATTAGATGAGAGCTATGGAGTCTGAGAGCAGGAGGAATTGATAGAAACCTCTATTAGAGACTGAGCTGTCCTGGGAAATCTTCTATAATTTTGTAGGCTTCACAGAATCACACAGTCAGTACAAGGCTTGTTTGTTCATAACTGCTCAGGCTGCACACACGTACGTACGCACGCACACACACACACACACACACACACACACACACACACACACACACTATTTAATGAAAACATTTTATGATGCATCTTGGAGAGTCCCCACGAGCAATATTCCAATCGCATCTTTTGAGTCACCTCCTTGTAGAATTGAAAATACTCAAGAACATGTGAAGTTTCCTCATTTGCAGAAAACAGCAGCTTTGAATTCTGCCAGAATCAAATACTACAGTTAAATCAAAATATGGCTGATATGCTGCTGCGCTGGGATGCGATCGCCCTTGTTATAATTAAAAAAAAGAAATATTGGAAAAACAATAGTTTGAAACACGGTGAGCTTGTGGCAGAACAAAGGAGAAGTGTTTTATGCTGCTTGGGTGGTTTTGATACTTCCTGACTCTGTGAAAAATGGTCACTATTGGAAATTACTTTGTACCTGACTTTAAGGGTGCAGTTCACCCCGGAGAATTGCATGTATTGCATATCAGTCTGTGTTCCTTTCTTCTACAGATGATGACTACTCTGACACATACAATGCAACGTATGCTGTCATAAACAATGGTGAGAGATGTTTTAAATATTACAAAAGTTGTCTCCTCCTCTCTGGTTTGCTCTGCCTCATTATGTCTCCCTCTGATGTCTCCTCTGTCCTGTCCTTAACAGATGACTACAGCCTGTCATCCAGCGCCACCATGGCCCACCCCGCTCCCCGTACGCATACATACAGGCCACTCTCCAAAAGCCCCTCAGACAACGGGGGGCATCTGGGGCCTCGGGAACCTTCGCCATCCCCTGTACCTCCACCACCTCCGCCCATGCCATCTCTCCTCCAACTGAGGGCCAGAGACAGTGACCGCGAGAAAGACTCCCCTGACGCGTAAGAGAGTTTGTCTTCTCTCTTTCATTTATGACTCTGTATTAGTTATGAAATAATGCCAATCAGTATTGTACAAGCACAAAATTGAAATCCCGCTGTGATGTACGTGAACTAATACATGGAATGGGTTAAGTATTTATTTTAATATTTTTTTGCTCACATGAATTCTGAGCCACCTTAAATTATGTTAATTTAAAAATGTACTATGTGCTTGAATAATTAACTAACTTAGAGTCAGGATGTTTTTTAAGAAGAATCTGTTTTTAAGAAACTTTTGTTTTTTTGCACCAGAAATGAATGGGGTCCTCCCAACAGGAAAGTGGACACACGAAAGTACCGCGCAGAGCCCAAGAGTATTTTTGAGTATGAGCCTGGGAAGTCCTCTATTTTGGAGCATGAAAGACCAGTGAGTATATGTAAAAAAAATTATTTCATTTGATTATAATGAATTCTGAAATGTTCCTGTTAAAACACACTGACAAGTTAGTGGCCATCGTCACCTCACTGACTTCCTTGATTAAACTGTGAGGCCTGTAGGAGGCAGTATGGAATCAGCTCAGGCTATGAAATGTGATCTTTATAACATTTAGAAGACATGATGCTGAACGTGAAGCTATTGTTGTAGCTATTCTTGTAATTGTTCAATGAAATATATATTCTGTTGCTGCTCTGCTAAATTAAAAAGTTAATGTCTGATGAGGTAACAATAAACAACATTAAGTGAACCCCACTGCAGAGATGGAGTGACAGTATAAAAAAAAAAAAAAACTACATTGAGAAGAGTCACAGGCACATTTACCTTCCTTACTTGCTAGTTTTTGCAGACATTACTGTGTTGTCAATACATTTTCATATTATGGGCTTTTGCTTGGACTTCTTTCACTGTCAGACACAGTGTGGGCGTTAAAAAGCGAAGGTTTTCAGTAGTACATCCTATAGTGACTGTACTGTGCCTTTACTCTGTGTGGGGTGAATGACAAAGCAGACAGCAGAGATAATTACTGTGTGGGCAAAAAATAGTAGACATGAGGTATCTGAGATGAGGACAAGATAATGGAGAATGTGTTATAGATGATAAGTCTATTATGTGTGGAAACATTAAAAAGAAAAGGTTTTTGGGAAGGTTTTGCAGATGTTTAATGTGATGGCTGCAGAGAGCTTTCCCTGAGCAATAATGCATGAGTCAGTTCCTGAGAAGGCAATAAAAGGAGAAAGCTGAAGAGAGTAGATGTGAACCCACGCTGGCTAATCTGCTGTCTGAGACTCCCTAAATATGTTGTCTGTTCAGAAGCTTTTTTCTGCACTCTTCAAGGTAATAAATGGCACCCAAACACATCTTATTCGGTGGTGTCCATTTGGACAATTATGAGTCACAGCGAACAAAAATGTTTTTCTGGTACTCTATTTCTTTAGTTTCTGCTTTCTGTCTACAGTCTGTGTCAGTCCCTGCCCCAGGCGTCTGTTTTTTTACAATGTGAGTCATTTATCTCAAAGCAGAATTCTCTTTTTAGAGAGATGTGACACCGCAACACCTACAAAACATTTCCTGCAGGGTTTCATTTGGTGTGAAAACTCCATTTCCATGTGGGAGCAGAGTATTAAACCACTGCATCATCTCTACAGTTAAAATAACAGTAAAATGAATAAGCCTCTTGACTGTAGTTCACACTGAACTTTGTAAATGGAGATAAAAATGGAGAAAGCTGTACTTGTTGGAGTTTAAACATACCCTACAACAGAAACAAGTAGATGATTAACAGCTACACAGTGGTAACCATTGTTTTTGCTTTACATGCCTAATTTTGTTGCATGTAAATACTTACATCCCATCTGACACAGTTTATTGCAGATAGATAGGGTATGAAAATGTATCTCTGTAAATCAAAGGAAGAGCTGGGTGTTATAATCCATCAAATTAGTAGAGATAAACATCTGCTGCCTAAAGGCAAATTGTCTATAATTTACATGCATACATGCAAAATGGCAGTATTTGTTTCCGCTAATAACATTTAGCAAAATGCAACATTGGATGGCAGCTGACAAGCCTTTACATCAAATATACATCTCAGTTCTGAAACCTAAATAAATTTTTTATTTAAAAAAAATCCACCTTTAAAAGCATCTTAGTAATATATTGTTGTGACATGACGGGTGCTGATAGGGGATAATGTGGCAGATAACAGAAATGTGAAGAACTTTTCGACATCAAGGTAATTCACAGTGCTTTACACAGGACATAAGAAGGCAGTAAGACAGGCTTAAAAAGATAAACAAAGCAATTTAAAAAGATGTAAATAGGATTAAATGGGAAGAATTTGGTAATTTTCTTATTTCTAATGAGCTGCTAGGCAGTTTATCACACATCTCTTAATACAAACACTCTTGGCCAGTTTAGCCTTTTATAGCACTGTCCTCCCTTGGTGTTTTACCTGTTCTCTGAGCAAGCACTTAACATGAGCATTAGTTAGACTATGGCAGTGTGTAGCACTTGGGTAAGTTGGCTGGCTGACGGTGATACTGATACTATACTCCTCCCACCAGTGTAGAAGTGACACTTACACATGTAAATCACCCCTCGTGTCTTTCCCAAACAGTTCTTCAATATGTGCCCCTTCATCATCTTCTTAAATGTAATGAATTCCACTAGTGAGACTCTGACATTACTCAGTGAAAGACTGTGTGGTGGTCATTGTAACATGCTGATTTTCATTATCGGTCACCTGTATTATGGCTTAGAGTAAGGCAGCCCTATTCATTTTTCTGCATATGAAATTAATGAATATCAATTCAAAAGGGTCTAAATGGGGAAATTGTCTGCCTCTTTGGTTCCCAGTGGTGACAAGAGTTGGACTGTGCATATTAGATTAATTACTGTCTGATAATATGGCACTGTTGTACACTGCTTAGCAAACAGTTTGGATTCCCTAAAGTTTTGGAATTACTGTTAAACCAGTTAAAGCAGTGAAGAAAAAAGTTACCCTTTTTTGTTTTTAATTTCTCAGTGAATATGTGTTTTGCGTCACTGCTTTCGCCCCCACGAGCCAGTCTAAATCTTCATCCTGGTTCATCTTGTGCCCATCTCACTTTGCCCATTCCTAACCATGAGGTCCATGTCTCTCTTTGTGTGTGACTTCTTTCCACACTCCCTTTCTTCTGTCTTTCTTCTACCTCCTCTCTCTGTCCCTGTCATGCTTTCCCTAGACCTATGATGACATAGATTTAGAGAACGAGCCTTGGTATAAGTTCTTTTCCGAGCTGGAGTTTGGGCGGCCGGTAAGTCAGGGCCATAGCTACTCCCTCAACCACAACCCTGCCCTAGGCATACACCCACTTTCTCCACCCCACCCATGATTTTTTAAATGTCTCCACCAATAGACTGGGTGGGGCTAGTTGTTTGGGCATGTGGTACTTGTTGGGTGCTGTGACCTCCCCCCCCCACCCTCCCCACCCTTGTGACAGACTGTTTTATGTCTCTGCGTTGCTGGGTTTTTTGATCTGGTGGCTAGCAGGCACTGATATGTTCACACACAGACTTTTACATTGAAATTTTATTTTCAGTTGGTTCATTATTGCATTTTGCCCCAAATTAAGCAGGACAATAGGTTAAAATAAAGTGTACTCCAGATGCTCTAGATGACCTGATTTTAAGGCTGTTAGAACTGCACAGAACAGTCAATCAAAACATTGACATGCACTAGATTAGTTTCCTAATGATGAATATTATAATTTTGCTCTGCATAACAGTCTGAGTATGTGCAGTTTCTTTACCATCTCTTGAACATGTGTATCAATGAATCAGCCTTTTATTTATTCATTTGATCATTTGTTCATTTCTTCTAGCATTTTGTTTATCTTCACTTTTGGTAGAGGAATTTTCTGCATATCTTTAAGCGACATGCTTTAGTGCCCTCTGCTGGATGTAGGTTGTAATAATGTCCTAGTGGCTCAGAGCAGGGATTGCCTCTAGCCACAGATCTGGGATCAAATTGCCCTAATTATCTTTAGAACATGCCTCTGTCCATGCCAGCATGACATCATGTGATGATTTGATGGGCTTATTCGAAATGTTCAGGTGAAAATGTCACATCTTGTGCTGGCATGACTTCCCAGAGTCATGCTGGGCTGTGGACTGAGATTTCTACCTGCAATATTTTGAATGCTTCACATCACCGAATAAGCCCTTAGAGTATAGATGGTTTCCCAACATGCACTGACTGGTCCAGCTGGGACAGGATCTCATATGTTCAGTGTTTGAGTGTTTATTGAGGTGACAAGTCACACGACGTTTTGACTGAACAATAGATTAGCTGCACTTGGAAACCAGCACTAAATCACAGCATTTGAGAGTGCAGTTCATTGCACTCTCTAATAAACACAACACTGCAGCTTGTGCTTCACTCTGCTTTTTGCTTTACAGCTTGCTCTGATACTTTGCATGTGTGTGTGGTACATGGGCACATTTCTGCGTGTATTTGTGTGTGGTATAAAGGTTGATATAGGCCTAATGTGTTACATACTGTAGTTTAAAGGAAGCTTTTTGCAATTAGCATAGGAATAAAGCATCAATAGATGATATCAGAATGTGATATGAATGAACGTTATGTTTAGTGTGTGTGTGTGTGTGTGTATTGAGTTTGTACACATGTGTGCATTGTACATGCAAAGCACATGTGCAACGTTTGTGACTTAGTCCATCTCTGGTTACTCATATTCTCTAATGGGTGTCACTCTCTCCACATGTTCCTTGTTTTTTGGTTTCTCCCCATGATGTCACCACTGCTTCTCCTCCTTCACCTCATTTTCACCTTCTTCCTATTCCTCCTCCTCCTGCTCACTGTTGCTGCTTGGGGCTCAAGCCTCCTAAAAAAAGGCTGGATTATAATCCAGACATCTCCGCTCGCCAGCGCATTGAGGTAATCTCACATTCTGTGTTCCAGTAGTGTTGTTAATCTCACAATTCCTAACCAATCACAGGAACCTAAATCTATATTGTTAAATGTAACATATGATTGCCTAAAATGAGTATAATTTAATGTAGCCCAATTTAGTGTGATTTCATCAACACAAGTATGATGTTGCTCTGTGAAAACGTATAGCTTTGAAATGCTATTCATCTTCTTCCTTGGCATTGTATGAACATGTGCTGGTTATAATATTTCTTGTAAAAATATTGGTTATTATTATAAGATCTAGATTTTTTGATTTAGAGCTCAAAATAGAATTCACTGGAAATCTTTTCCCAACATTATTGTGTGACATTTGCTGTGAAAGCATATCAAACATTCTTTATCAGTAAGACCCATTCCAGTTGATCCATGCCAGATTTTGCAGGGCAACATTTGCCCCCTGAGCTCAGCTCACAACATCCTTTGCTATATCACCTTTGCCATCGTCCTCCAGAACATCCCAAGAGAGAGCAGAAATTTCTCTTCACTGTTTACACTGGTAGGTGTCTTCTCAGGCAGGTGTGCCATGTGGAACCAGCATTCATCGCACCTTATGCTGAGGGAGCTCTTTGAGTGTGGCACAGCAACAACCGCATGCAAGCTGTGCATTGTGAGCTGCTCTGCCTCGAGTCTTTGTTGTTACAGAGCTCACTTTTCTCTTTTGTTGTCTCCCCTATTTCAGACTTCCCTGCACATCGCTCCTGCTGACAAGCCTCCGGAGAGACCTGCGAGGTAACCTCCGTTTCTTTTATTTTCCCCTGCATCACCTCCTTCCCTCCCCCCATCCTCTGAACAGCAGTGGTCCTTGTTGTGATTCAGCACAGAATCAGAACTGCTCTAAATTGCCTCGCTTCTGGTGCAAATAGACTCTCTGTCTGCTATTAAGGATGATTTGCAAGGATAAGTGTTAGTCTTTATTTGCTTTTGTCACTAAAGGCAGGGCACTTTGCATCTCCCTCTCACTAGCTGAGCCAGAATAAATTAACCCACCCAACCTATTGATTCTGCCCTTCACCTCCTATCCTTCCCTCCCCCCCCTCCCCCCTCTCCTTGTCCTACTCCCTTTTCACAAATGGCCTGCTTATTCAGTCGCATTTTCCTCGGTGAACAGAAAGGGCAGAAATAGGATGTGATGAATAGGCCGTGTAATGCATGTTAGTGACAGTGAGTCTGTTTGTTCTCAATAGAAAGCCCATTGGCTTTTTAGACATTTTGAATAAGAGAAGTTAACATAACTCGTTGTCTCATCTTTTCGAGCACAAGAATAATAGCCAGATTTTTTGTAGGATGTACTTAAAAATGCATTAATAGTTCCATGGATGGTAACGTTGTCTCAGTCCATGAATAACCATGGAAACCTTCAGCTAAGTTAAACTTAGAAAATTCCCAGAATTGGGGAAAAAAGGTTTTTGACCATCTGTAGCAATATGTGTATATGAAGTTCATTTGCCTGGAATTAAACTTACAGGTTTAGAAAAGAGTAAAAATGTTTTATACTGTTTTCACAAAGATCACAGAGGTTGATTAGAGATGTGAAGCACTATTCACTTGGTGGTTATTTATTATACTTTGGTCTATACTGTGTTTGTACAATACAGATGATTCAGGAAATTTAGTAAATAGAATGTACTCACAAGACATTTATAGTACCTCAAATTCAATTTGCCATCTGCAAACTGCATCAACCAGTGTATTGCTCTGAAAGCAGTCATCATTGATGTCTGACTGTGTTGCAGTGCTGCCAGCGACTACAGGAAGAGAAGGAAGTCTGAGCCATCCAGTTCCCAAGCGAATGCTCAGTCTCAGAGTAGAGCTGCAACTTCCCCTAAACCAGTGGATGCTTACAGACCCAGTAGTAGCCTAAAGAAGCCTATGATTCGTTCCTCACCATCCTCACCCTCCAGAGCCAAAGGTACACACGCGTACACACATACAACTCCTTTTTACTTGATATTTTTTTCTCTCTGTCTTATGTGTGTACTTTGTTGTCATTTGTTGTGTTTTTCACAATATAATGTCTCTGGTGTGGTCATAAGTTTCCTTGGTTGGTATTGGTGGAAGTCTAAAGAAAAAAAAACATAAAATCACTTATTTCACTTTTTTTTCACCTTCTTTTCTCTTCTTATTCTTATTCCTCTCCCCTGCGCTTACACCTTTTTGCTGGCTTTTTCTGCTTAACATGCTTTCCTCCTTCTTCTCTTTCACCACGCTGCTCTATATTGGACAACTGAAAGGTGGGGACGCATGCAACATGTATTCAAACAGTTTGACCTCCCCAGGTCCTTATCAGCACCCTTATCTGCCCCCTGACCCCTCTGACACTGTCCATTGCCATGAGGATGCCAGCCGGGAAGGTAGCTCCTCTTCCAAGCAGTCTGTCTGTTTTAAAAACAGTTGGCAGACCGAATCCCAGGATCCCGAGACATGGAGCAGTGCGGAGGAAGTACCGCCCTCCACTGGCAAGCTCAAGTCACGCAGCTGTGATGACTTACTCAATGATGGGCATTCTGGCTCAGGCGGGCGCAACGCCACCCGCTCAGAAAGTGCTGGGTCACTGGTTTGTGATGGGAATCCCTCAGGTTCGACTGTATCCACGTCCACTCGCTCATTGCCTCGTCTCCAACGGCGACGGGCTCATGATTCACCAGGCTTTCTCCAGCTCTATCGCAAGATGCACCAGATTGACCGAGCTCAGATCATCCCATCTGAAGTAATACGCTCGGTCCGGGCTCGCATCCTGGAGCTAGAGCGCCAACCTCACCTGCATCGCCATCGCCTCTCTCCTTGGACACCCTCTTGGGGCATGGAGGTGCCACGCGATATGGTGCCAAATCGCATTTCTGAATATGAGCGCCTTATTAAGAAGTCTAAATCCATGCCCAACTTGGGTGACAATGAGATGCCTTCAGGAACTACCACACCAGGTGGGTCCTCATCTCGAGCCAGCAGTGGTGGTGGTGGCACACCCAGTTTTCCAAAACGCCGTTTTTCAATAGAATCTTTACTTGAGGAAGATAACAACGGCAACAGTGGAACAGTACCTCACTCCATGGAACACTTGCATCGACCTCGTAGCCCACCTGAGGGCCAACCTCGTGCTGGACCAGAGCCCGGCCGCGGGAGGTCCTTTCCCGCTCCTCCTGTTCCCCAAGGCCCACAAACCAACCCAGACTTCTCTGACAGTGAACAAGACGCTGTTGCGTCAGACCTCAGTGACTTCATCCAGGTGGAGGGTTCCTCATTTTGCAGTGAGAGTGACTTTGACCATTGCTCGCTAACCTCCTCTGAGAGCTTGTACGGCTCCTCCACCCTCCACCACCACCACCACCTCCGTCATCACCTCCACCATCATCACCACCACCCTGGTCACCAAAGTCTAGGCCAGAGCCAGGGCTACCAACACCGGCACCTCATCAGCACCTGTAAAGGCCGCTGCCCGGCCTCTTATACTCGTTTCACAACCATGCTTCGCCATGAGCGAGAACGAGCACGCCAGGAGCACCAGAGACCTTCACATCAGAGCCGCAGCAGCCATTCCCAAAACCAGAGCTCGCAATCTCAACAAGCGATGTCCAAACTGGCCTTCCTGGTCAGCCCAGTGCCTTTCCGCAGGAAAAAGGGCTCACCACCTACCTCTAGAAGAAGCAGTGGTGCCGGAGATCGAGGTAGCAGACCCAAGTCCAAACAGGCCATTTATGAAGCACTAGATGCAGCCTTGAGAGACATATATGAGCACATTCAATCAGAGAGAGGCCACAGAGGAACTAGGGCACCTGATGATAGCATCCTAAGGAGAATACTGGCCGAACTGCTCCCAAATGTGCCTGAACGAAGCTCCTCTTTGCGGGGGAGGAGGGGGTGTTGGCTCGGCGGTCACTCCTCTACATCTTTATACCCAGATGGGAGCCCAACTGGGTATGCCTCGTATAGAGGGGATCCCTCCACACCACGGTTACAGTCACCACGGCTACAGTCACCAATCAGTGCCTGTTACGGACACCCCTCACACACCTCAAACAATAATGAATATGGAGAGGTGCAGGGCAATGGAAATGGTCTCTGTTATTCAGGTGGAGATAATACACACATCATACCTCAAATATGCACATGTGCATGTTGTCATGTTGCCAGTCATACTTACATATAATTTTTTTTCTACATAAACATACACACATACATGCATACACATTCCAAATATGCATCAACATACATTACCTCAATGTCTGTTCCAGTATCACCTAGGCTCATTTCCCTTTTTCTGTCATTTTTCAGCCGATACATCCATTACTGTGCTTTTTAATATATCTACATCAACATTCAGACCTAAGACCTGTTTACAATAAATTCTCAAGTAAAAACTGGTATTAAAATAATGGCCATTCTTTTGTTCCGTGTTAAGCTAATGTCAGTGAAACTAAACACTAAATGCTGATGTTTCACATTAATGGTCTGCTAGTAACGTAGTGTGGTAGAACAACATGTCTGTCAGAATCAGAGCAACAGAATGTTAAGTAAGACGTGACTTTGCTACCCTCACTGGAAATAGCAAATTAAAACAGGAGCAGTTCAGAAAAAAGGGAGGCTTCTTACAGTACTAAAAAGTGATAAATATATGCTTATAAAACAAGAGATTGTCTCAAATAAAGGCCTGGGTTTCTCCGTAGTTGAGGTAAAGAAATATTTGAGATTTGAGTAGGCTATATTAGTCTGGTTGGTGTGAATGTTCCTCTGTTGTTTTTTCTATTGTTTGTTTGTGTTTTGGTTTTTTTGGTTGTATTATTTGTCTGTTTTGCACATGCATTCATGGAGTCATCATATTATCCCACAATCGTTTATTCCCTCAATCCATTTGCTTGTATGGTTATGTTTGTAAATGGTGTTTTTCGGCTGTCTTCCCCTTGTTTCATGTTTCAGCTATTTTGTAGGATTGCATGTGTAATATTGTGTCTCTATCACAATCTCCTTGTTTTTTCCTATGAAATAGAAATAAAACGCACTTATTTTTGACTCCGAGCTCTCATTCCCTCATTTACCTGTTGGAATGGCGTCATCAGTGTACCATTCGGTACTTCCCGAAAGCACATTGTTGTATTGTGAGCGTGCATGTGTCATTTTGGTTACTGTGGTGTAACCCCCATGACCTTTTCATATGTCTCTGCTAATCACAGACCAGGATGTCTCCAGGTGTTATTCCACAATCGATGGACGCCAAACACCCCAGAGTAGAAGGCCTACTCCTGACAGAGAGGTACAACATTGAAACTAATAATAGTATATTATTATTATTGTTTGTGTAATAATAGCTAGTATTTGTGACACCAATGTGCACTTAAATAGTAGCACTAAATAGTTAATCTTTTTTGTTCTTAAAATTTATTGAGAAATAACACCTACTTTTTTTGTCCTTAGCTTCACAGTACCACATATTTTCTCACAAACTTTAAAGAGCTATATTTTATTTTTGCCTGGTAATGCTTGCCGGCTTTTTGTTCTCTCACTTCCATCTCTTAGGTCTCCCATAAACAGATGACACAACTTATTCTGTTCTCTCTCCTCCATCAGAAACAGCCTGCAAGAGCCATTTATGATTTTAAGGCACAAACAGCTAAGTGAGTACAGTAAATGCACAGTGCAAGCACAAGGAAGAAAAGCTTTAAAGCATGAGTATCTAACTGCATATGAACACATCTACTAATTGCATTCAATGTTATGATGTCAGATTATTTAGCATTTCTTGCATAAAGTTTTGTTTGCTTTCTAAGAAACTTCATTGTCCCATCTAACCACCACACTTGAATGGCTTTAACTGATTTATTTTATGCAGTCTTTGAATATACGCATGAATAAAGCTGATTTCTGCTGCACTCGATTTTATTTCATCTTGCTTCAGTGGCTGACGTTCTGTAGCTGACGCTGCTTACACGAAATTAATTTTGCTGGTTGAATTGGTCAGGTCATGTGCACACCTGTGTGCTGGCACTTTTATGACACGAATGTGTTGCAGGGAGCTGACCTTTAAGAAGGGTGATGCAGTGAACATCATCCGGCAGATAGATAACAACTGGTATGAAGGAGAACACCATGGACATGTTGGGATTTTTCCCATGTCATATGTAGAAGTAAGTGTGCAACTAATAAACTGTATGTGAGTACTTTTGATGTGCACAATTTTATATCTTATATGTAATGACTTCTGTCCCTCTTCAACACACACATTTACAATAAATGCACATGAACAGAAGGTGCCGTCCTCAGAGAAGCAGCAGCCGATTCGTCCTCCTCCGCCAGCACATGTCAGAGAAGTTGGAGAGGCAGTAGCTCGCTACAACTTCAATGCTGATACTAATGTGGAGCTGTCTCTCAGAAAGGTAGCCTGTTTAGTGTGTGTGTGTGTGTGTGTGTGTGTGTGTGTGTGTGCAAATGAAAAGCTGCAACAATGTAATAGGTTTACATTGGTTTATAATTATGAGGTGAAACCTTGTATTTCTTGAGGAACTATACTGTTTTGAGTTTTACTGGACTGGATACCAAATGATACACATTTTATCAAATTATTGAGAAACAAGTAATCATCCAGATGTAGTTAAAACATGAAAATCATCAGTGTCTACAGAAAAAGTAAGCCATGTGACTAATTTGATGATTTTGAACATGCTATGATCACATAAAAAATTCTACACAGTGGCTATAAGAAGTATGAGAACTAGTACTTTGGAGTTCTGTTTATTACAACAGTGCATTAAAAATCGTGTGTATATTTTGTTTGTGTTGCGTGTGTGTAGGGTGAGAGAGTAATTGTGATAAGGCAGGTGGACCAGAACTGGTATGAGGGGAAGATCCCAGATACAACCAAACAGGGAATCTTTCCTGTGTCATACGTTGACATCATCAAGCGCTCCCCGTCCAAGAGCTCCGCCCACCAAATAGACCCACATGGTTACCCTGGTAGCCGGACACCAAGCTCTACACCCATCAAGGTAGGGAATCACTACAACATTGTGACACAACAGAATACAGTTAACTAATGGAATAGACATACACATTTTCTAAGTGGCACTTTGTTAAATTTAAAACAAAAAAGCTGCTTTATAAATTAATTGATTGATTTATATGTTTGGGGTATTTATTAATGCATGTGAACAGTAGTGTTGGTTTTTAACCAGCATCACAAATGTCAACAAACAATTTACATCCTCAAAAAGTAACATGTTATAGTTATTTGGGAATGTATTTAAATAAATACATCATCTGCATAAGGGTGCAAACATAGCTTTTAAGCTCTGTGTTGACATACAACACACACACAAAACCTCCGTGTTACAGTTTTATAAATTACACTGTTCCTTCTTTTTTACTTTACCTACATGGAGCCTTTCAACCATCTACCTCCATCCTCCACTACTCATGACCTCCCCTCCCTTCACCCCTCATTGAGAAGGCCTGAGCTGCAAGCTATCACCAACGAGTGGCTGTCCCTCACATTGGACCCATCAATGTCCACTCCCACTCGTTCCCTCACGACCACACCTGTACCGCCCACACCACCCCCTCTCCCTGCTGACCTTGCACCTTTTCTAAAGGCTCAGGAGCCTAAGGCACTCTCACCTGTGCCATCACAAAGAGGCTCCGCCCTGCCAACCCAGACATTTTCCAGAACTCCTCCTTTTAAAGAAGGGAGACTCACTTTAGGTCACACCCCAGCTGCTCTGCCTTTCTCCCAACCTCCACCTCCTTCTCCACCTCCCCTTCCTCGTTCCTCATTTACCTCGCCACTGCCTGATTCTTCATTTCGATACAACAGTGACAAAGGAATAGTCCAAACTTTACACATTTCTAAGCCAGAGGTTTTATCCTGCACAGTGAAGGAACCAATAAAATCACTAGCGCAATTTCCTCTGCAGCACAAGTCAAACGTGCAAGTACACAAAAGCAGTAAAATCCCTGATGTCAAGCTGCAAGTAAAAGACCCTTACGATGAGCTGTTGTCCATGATTCTGGATAGTGGTACCAGTTCAGCTGACTTTTCAAGATTGTCTGCGGTAGATTCCCCACCAGCTATGCTAGTCAATGAACCCCGGGGCAGGTTTGAGCTAAAAGCAGAAGAATCCCATCAGCCAGCAGAGAAACCCCCAGTTGTCACTCTAGCTAGCGACTCGACAGGCGGTGCTCGGTTAGAGGTGCAGTTTCACAATCCTGTGATGATTGAGCCGCTTTCCATCACTTGGGGAGGGCTTTCAGAAGCTTTGAATGAGCAAACAGTCGAGTCCCAGAGACTACCATCGATGAAAGGAAGGGAATGTACTGAATTGTTCATTGAGGAAGAGGATGATGGTAGAGAAGACAAAGAGGAGGACATAAAAGGTTTTAATGAGAGACTCAGTCCACAGGTAGAGCATGGTGTGAGCTGCATCTATTGAGTTTGGAAACACTACAGGGCCCTGGAATGGAGATGGAGGGATATAAAAAATATATATATATATGAAAAATATACCAGCTTTTGGATTCTCTTATAAAAGTACATGTTACAAGTAATTGTTAGGAACACCTGAGCCTTTTCTACTATGACAAGTCAAAATGTCTGCTGTGAAAAAGCCTGTTGTTGTTGGAATTTATGAGTGTGCTATATAGTGGGTAGATCATCAAATAAATGATGAACAGTAAATGTAGTACACTACATAGTAAACATTGAATGATCTTGAATATAGCCAGTATAAGGATAAAGTATTATATATGTGAGGAGGAGGAGTTTTTCCACATATTATTTGTGTGTTAACAATCAAAAAATATGCATGGATGCTCAAGTAAGAAAATATCACTGTTTGGCAGCATGGTGCTTTTGGCAGCCTTTAGTTCTTTTCTTACACAGTTGTCTGATCATTTAACTTTTGTTGTGACAAAAAAATGCTGTATGTTTTTAAGGATTTATGTTGGAAGTGTTATATTTTTCTTAGACTCAAAGACTCAAAAGTACAACTTAAAAAATCCATGTAAAATAATTTCCTCCATGACCCTTCCGAGGCTCCGTACAATACAGCCATATTTTGAAACTTTAACAGAATTTAATTAAAAGATTTCCTCAGCATTGAGCTTCTGTGATGTTGTGAATTCAGCTTCATAATTGAATTGTGTGTCATTGCCTCCGTAGGCTGATGTGTCTCCTTCCACCCTGATACAGCTTCCTCACCCCAGCCTGCCCTCACCCTCCGTACCACCACCTCTGACCTCCTTACCACCTGCTTCTTCTTCTACTTGTTCTTTCACTCCTTCTTCACCTTCTTTCTCCTGGTCACAACAGCAGGACTCTAACACCATCCCTGCCTCTCCTCTTGTCTCCCTTCGACCCCCATCCCTTCCTCACCTCATGACATCACCGCTACCTCCAGTCTCTCCCTCTCCACCTGTCTTGACACCTCCCGTCCTCTCCTCTCACCCCTCTCCAAACGTCTCCTCACAGCGCTCTGTCTCTCACCCCGCAAGCTCTGCCTACAACTCAGACTCGCCTATTCCCCATCCCGCCTTGTCTCCCCTGAAACCAGCCTCCCCCCCCCTCACCACTCCACGCTCTCCCCCCACTCCTCCAACTGTACCCCATGCAGGATGTAGGTCTCCCAAGGTGAAGGTAAAGCTGGAATGTGGAGATGATGGCATTGATTTAGATCATGTTTGTAATGCCAGGGATTATGACAAGAACTCGTTTGATAATATGCTTTGCTAACTTTTGTGTCATTGACATTAGTGCAGCTGAGACTGTGGTTGAAGTCAACTAATCAATAACAGAAAATCATTGGACAACAATAATCTGATTGGTCATTTAAGCGGGAAAAATGCCAAGACAATATGATTCTTTTTCTCAGTTTTATATCATTGTAAACTCACTATCTTTAGGTTTTAGAATGTTAGTTGGACAAAAGTACAATTTGAAGACGTCACTTTGAGCCCTCGTAAATTGTTTTTTTCACAATTATTTTGTACTCTTTATAGACTTAACGGTTAAAATGTCATTGTCAACAGATTAACAGATATGGAAAATAATCGTTTGTTGCAGCTGTAGCTGAGAATACCTTATCTTTTGTACACTAACATACATTGTACACTATCATGGAAGTAATGATTTATTGACAGCAGAGAACATCCTATAATTAGTGTGTTGATGATGTCGGTTGCACTATGGTGTGTGTGTTTAGGAGGATTTAATTTGGCATCTGCATGCTGATGGATGATGTTTTATAGCATGTGATTAGGCTTTGTGCTTGGTGTGTTAGGCTCATAGTGAAGGCTGCTTACTCGCCTAATGTTCTAAGATTATTGTTGTGTTGCCTCTGGTCTTTCTGCCTGTTAAGCAGGATCCAGTTGTTGGTGGTAAACCTCCTCGTAGCCCCATCTTGTCCCGGAGGTCCTATCTGTCCATTAGAGGTCGAAGGGTAGGGGGGCATGTCTTCATTTAATCATGCTCTGACTGTACTCTTGTCTCTGTGCAGGAAGGAAATCTTCAGAATAACCATATCATTCATAACAGATCAGAAGTTCTAGAGCATGCATACTAAAGTGTGCTGTTTTTTTTGGGGGGGGGGGGTTACATACAGTGTACATTTACACAGTAGTATTTGTGCCGAATCAATTGAAGTGTTTGGTTGGTTTGTCTATTCATGTTTGTTTCCAAAGGAATTGGTCACAGCTGTGGGTATGAAATTATACCTTATTCGTGTAAAGCGACAACACTACACATGTCATTCCGTTCAGCCTCATCAAACCCTAAACAAAAGCCTTAGGAATGCCACATTTTCACTTCCTGTCTGTTTCTGTCTTTCTCACAGCGGTTAGTACAAGATGCACTTCATGGTGGAGGAGACCCGTAAGTGATATTTGTTATTCCACTGAAAAGATAATATCTTTGAGCTAAACTATAGGCTTAGCAATGTATACAGTATGTGTGCAGTAATTATAATCAACAAATACCAAGTGTTAGATTTACTTTAACAGATATTAGAAATGGGTGATCATATTAGACATAACAGCAAAAAATAGCATTACTGCTCAGTAGCATTACTGTAGCATGGGTGTCAGGTCACCATCGTTTTTTCTAACACAGGTACCAGGCTGTGTACAACTACCTGCCTCGCAACGAGGACGAGCTGGAGCTGAAGGAGGGCGACATTGTAGATGTGATGGAGAAGTGCGATGACGGCTGGTTTGTTGGTGAGAGGACAGAATACAGGGTTGTTCTTGTCTATTAGGAACATATTTTAGTTGATGCCTTTTAAAAAAAAAACATTATTTTCATTGTGTTACTGTTCAGCAATACAACAGAGAGCAGGCAAGTGAATAATTCAAGTATAGTGTCTCTTCTATAGACATTGGCACAGCTCCTAAAAATGTAGTCAATAAAAGAATAAACAAATATGTATGAGAATTAATTATTTTACTGTACATCCATGATGTATAACTGGATCAGAACCACTTTGTCACAGTTAATCAAGCGAGAAAACCAAGAGAGGGGACCCAGATGCACCAAACACAGAGGCCGAGCAGGTTCTGTTCTATGATTTTAATAATAAAATTAAAGCTGCAAGCAGCGTTGGGCAGGCCCTTGCACGTGTAGCGCATCAAGGTGTGATGCGGCTGCCTTGCAGATTCTGGAGCTCTGCCGGTGTAACTGTAAATTTGCCACGGGCTTCAGATGCTGCACAAATGTGTTAATCATCACTTCCTGTGTCCCCTTTGTGGCGCTACATAGCACTTCGCACTACGAGTATAACTGAACATGTAGATGTTTTCGGAGCGGGACTCTTCTGAAACATGTAAAGTGTGGTACAGATCTGAGCATGTACAGTCAAGGTACAACAACTTCCTGTGTCATGGCAAATCATCGATATTGGAACCCATGCCACGGCACGCCAGTCCACGAAAACTCACTGTTTGTACAACTTTTAATTGTCAATGGCTTTAGAGTAGACAGGGAAAATCTGAAGTCGGTCGCACTAATTCTCTAGGAGGAGTTCGTTAAAGTACGGAGTGTGTAAAAAAAATCCAAAAATAAAACCGTAAAATTCAAAATGGCGGACTTCCTGTTGGATTTAGGGCATCGCTCCAAGAAGCTTTTTTGTACATCTTGACATGATACATCTGCCACAGAAATTTCATGTACATGTGTTCAAGGCGGGACTCTTCTGAAACATGTAAAGTGTGGTACAGATCTGAGCATGTACAGTAAAGTTACAACAACTTCCTGTGTCATGGCGAAGCATGGCACTTTGCCGCCACGCCACCACCAAGCCGTTAACCAAAAATTCACAAATTTTACAATATGGCCTCATCAATGTGTTAAGGGTTTCCTGGGACAGTTTTGAAGTTCATATGTCCAACCTGCTCGGAGTAGTACATTACAGCGTAAAACGTGTCATTTCCTGTTGCCAGCAGGTGGCGCTATGACTTTGAGTGAATATTGGCATGTACATGTGTTGGCGGGGCTATTGTTACACTTATCAAATTTGGTGCAGATGTGATTATGTGTACTGAAGTTATAACAACTTCCTGTTTTATGACCAATTTTCGATGACACACCACGGGCAAACTGGTTGACTTGTAATAACCGTTTGAATAACTTTTAATTGTCAGTGGGTTTAGAGTGCAATTAGAATTTGATTGGACTAAATCCCTAGGAGGAGTTTGTTAAAGTACAAAGTGTGTAAATCGCCAAAAATGACCATTAAATCCAAAATGGCCAACTTCCTGTAGGTTGTCGGGCATCGCTTCAAAAGGCTTTTTTGAATGACTGGCCATGATACACGTACCACGGAAATTTCATACACGTAGGTGAAACTTTGTCCGGGGGACTGCTCTGTAGGGGGCGCTAGCAAGCCATTTTGCCACGCCCATATGCGAAACCCATAAAATATGAAATTTTTCGCAGCGTCTGAATTATGTGCTACGTTTGGTGAAAAAATAATCCCTTCAGTTTCAATAGGGACCTCACACATTGAGTTCACTGGAATACAGAAAGGTGAAGGCGGGCAAGGGTCAAACAAGGCAAGCAGTCTACAAAAAAAAAACTAATCCAAAAGGGGAGCAGGCAAGAATCAAAATCCAGGGAGTCCAAAGAAGTTAGGCAGATAATCCCAGGAAACAGGAAACACAGGGCACAGAGGACTGGAATGCTTAACAAACTAACAAAGACCAACTTGGCAACAGACGAGGGGAGCACAAAGACTTAAATACACAAGTGAGGGGAGGATAACTAGACAAAAATGAAAGATACTTTACTCAAGTTTTATCATTTTGTGCTTCATGTACACACTGTTGCCAGTTAATTAGATTTATTAGACAAATACAGTCCTGCAATAAATCCTCCCTTCATGAAGGTTATAATGTTGAGCTTTTTATTAAAACTGTTGATTCAACTTTCTGATCATTTATGAAGCTGCAATTTGAGGAGCTGTTGAACTGTATTGCATTATACAAACAGGTGTTTCTTTTATTCACCTACCATGATTGATATACATGGGCTGGACAAAGGTATAGAAAAACCTCTCTGTGCAATACAAATCAGGATCTGAATACTTCCGCAACCATACCAATTATACAGGCAAGTAGGTATAATACTAGATACATGTCTTAGATGATGCTGTAATAGATGCTCAAACTGTCTACACACTTAACCTTTCTGGCAGTCTGACTCTTTTTTGAGGACCACCACCACACACACACATACACCTCCATCTTACTCACTTCATGGGATCAACGTTAGCTAGCTAGTTGCCTTTTTTAAAATTCCCCCACCAGGGGTGTCCCGACTCCCAGGTTAAGAACCACTGGTGTAGAAGAACTTAAATATTAACAAACTGAGACCACTAGATGTCACCGTGATCCCACCACATATTGATAACATGGCTTTTAAAGAGATGAGAATAATCCTGCACAGCTGAGTCTGAAAGTCCTGAGAATCTGTTTACCGTGTTAATCTTTACATTGTTGTATGAAAAACTTTGCCCTCTAAAGATGTTTTAATCTGTTTCAGTTTGAGTGATCTCCATGTTTGGCTTATTTCCAGACTGCAGTGAGCTAGAATAATATTAGTGAGAGCTACTGCTAAGTTTCAAGCACTGACAATCTCATTGTATTGCTCTTTGATTTTGAAGGGACCTCTCGGAGGAGCAAGTTGTTTGGAACGTTCCCAGGAAACTACGTAAAGCAGCTATAATGATGATTCCAGACTCCAGAGTCCCACCCTGCCCCCTTTCTGTGACACGTTCATCGCCCTCAGCACAGCACCTGCAGGACACCACCTCCCAACACTGGTCCCCACAAGACCTGTGGCACATTTATGTGTTTGCGTGTATGTGTGGCTCGTCAGCTTCACACAGACAGAACATTTAGCTCTAACTAGCCATCTTTAATGGAAGACTTCTATAAAATAATGTTGTTTTTTTAATCTTATCTTTTTATCCTTATTTTTCTATCATGGAGAACCCAAACTTTGTGCTCCAGTCAGTGACCTTTAACTTTTGACAGTGATGGAAGGATCTCGAAGGAACTTTGCAAACACTCAATGAAAGAAAACAGGGCACTTGATGCTTTTCTTTCTGTTAAAGGGCAGCGAGCTCACCACGATCACCTTTTTTTTTTCTGCAGTATCTCACATTTAAAACACTTGTTACATTTCATTTCAGTGTTAAATTACAAATATCCCCAAAGACATTCAGTGCAGAGTGTTGTTAAAACAGTATTCTGTCAGCAGGTTTGTTATGAACTGTGTTCAAGGGATTGCAGCCATGCAGCCAATATTTCAGGTAAAAGGATGTTACTTCCCACAGTTACATTTGATAAAGACTGTGCATGTATCAATGTTATGTGCTACCCAAGGTATTGATTGGTTGATAAGAATTTGGGGATATATTTGTTCTGAAACACTATCGTTAATCATTATTAAGCTGTTTTTTCAAATATTGCAAATGAGGAAGTGGGAGAAATATCATTGACACTGTTGCACTTGCTGTCTAAACCTTATACATTAGATTTAAAGTATAAGATAGGAAAATACAAAAATAATTTCAACTTGTTGGTTCTTCACCGTAGGATTGATGCACTTTAACGAAACGTTAACACAATGTAGTGTTTGTTTTATCTCAAATTTCACGTCAGATTTTACACACTGCAGGTTAATACAACTGTGGGACTTGTATTGGTCATGTTTGAAAAGTGTATGCAAAAAGGTTACCAACCTTTAGGTATTATATTTATTAGAGGACAAGTGCTGGTCATACTGTGTTGTAAGATGATTCTAGAAAGGATAGAACAACATGTTGCTTTATTAACATCTTTCAACAGCAGAAACCCCACATTTGAAGGATAGTTGTATAATTGTCAAGTAAAGTATTGTATGAGATAGGTAACACAATAATAGTTCATGGGCTACAATTATGCCAGGTGTCAGGATGTTTTATGTTGGATTATTTAAGTCAGATGCAGGAAGAGATGACATTCTATCAAACACTGCAGTCATGTAACTGCAGTTTTTCCACTAGACTTTGGTGGCATCTCTGTTGTCAGTGAGTGGGTCACTGTTTCATGTAGTTATATACTATTTGGAATAATTGGCAGTTTTCATCTAATCTTGTCATGCTCAGTGAATATGATTTATGTTGTTTTTGATTTGTTTTTTTTCCTCATTTTACGTGTTTCACATAGGATGGACACTGATGACAAAACAGTTGTTAAAGCACCTTAAGATATATTTTATTTTATCCTTCACACATTATACATCATCCCCTGTCGTCCACTTTTTCAGCTAGTTTGAGAACACGTGTGTGTGTGTGTGTGTGTGTGTGTGTGTGTGTGTGTCTGTCTGTCTGTCTGTAGTGTTTTTGTAAGCCTTTTGTATGAGAGCTGTAAAATGGCCAACATCCACTTGCTTTATAAAGTCAGCTTTTTGTCACCCATCATCACATTTGGTTTCCTCTCTTCTTTCATCAGTGGTGCTAATTTCCACACTTCTAAAGTTATTCTTGTAGCCAGGCATGTAGGCCTTTTTTTCCAGTTATTTGTCCTTTTAAGAGCCAGTGACATATTTAAACTGAGGTCACTGTAGGTAGAGTGAGTAGAGTTGGTGATTGCTGCCTTACATCCAACTTACTAATTTAATAGCCATGTATATGTAAACCTCTTCTGTGATGCAAAAAATTAATTTATGCATATATAGTCTAGAAAACGTCAGGAAAGCGTGTGAAAGTGTGCACAGAACATGATCACCAACTCGAGAGTGTCAAAACGTACAGTAAGCCTCTAGTCTACCTTTGATACAACATTTGAAACAAATTTGGATTGAAGACAAGAATTTGACTCCTAAGATGTTTATACATGTAATAAAAATATAAATCTTATATGTTATTCATGTTAAATCAAATTCAATGCACACTCTTGGACCTAAGTATTTCTACAATATCTTAGCATTTCTTGGATGGTTTTATGGGGCTGTATTGCTAATAAAATCCAGCTGGTATATGAAATATTTCCTTTTTTTCTTTCAGCTTAACAGAAAAGACAACTATCTTTTTTGATGACTAAAAAGAAATCTAATTTATGACATTTAAAGATTCATTGCACAATGGTTTTGGTTAGAAATGTTGAATGTAAACAAAATAGTTTGATCGCTATGAAAACTCGATAGAGGCACAGGGTGTCTTGTATGAAGACGTCACATTCATGAAATTTGACAAATGGTTAACCTCAAAAAGCAAACTCACAACAGCTGAAAATCTTGTTATTGCTGACCTCCAGTGGTCGAAAGGATGAGGCTGGTAATATGTATTTTTCTTATTTTCCACAAAACCCATGAAAAGACCAAAATCAGCTGTCTAATAGTTAATCTCAGCACTGTATGGCTTCCCGACTGTCTGTTGCATTTTAATGAACATGTTGCCCAGTAAAACACTGAGGCTCATTGATGTGTTTGTAATAGTTTGTGGACAACAACAATAGTTTGTAGACAATAACGGATGTCCACGGCAGAGCGGAATAAGCTATATCAGACTTTTGCAATACAGAAAATAGGTCTTATTGCGATCATTTCATTGTTAGTTTTGGTGTATTCATTGGAATTGTTGACAATAACAAATATATAAAGTATTACCAGACTTGTCCTTTATCTTCTTTATCTTATCGCCCTCTCAACTTTCTGCAGTGATGTGTAAGTGTACTCCAGGGTGTGTCAGTACACCATGACATCGTTGTTGGATGTGGTTATGGTTGCAACACTTTCAACTAGAGAGGGCACTGAAAAATTGCTGTTAAGTCTTCAAGGTTTTAAGCAATACTCTGAATTCATATAGAGAGATGGATAGTTAGATAGCTCTTTATTGTCATTGCATAACAATAAATAGAGTAAAATATATTGCATGTGGATGTCCAGCAGCTTTGGGAGGGGGGAGCCGATAATCCTCTCAGCTGTCTTCAACACACGCTGCAGGTCTTTCTTGTCCGCAGCAGTGCAGCTGGAGTACCACACAGTAGCCTACAGCAATAAGTCAAGACACTTTCTATTGTGCAGCGGTAGAAGCTGATCAGCAGTCTCTGGGGAAGCTTGCTGTGTCTCTGCTGGGCTCTCTTGATGATGTGGGTTGTGTTCAGGCTCTGGTTAGATTGTCAGTGATGTGTACTCCATGGAACTTAAAGCTAGGTACTCTCTCCACCTCCTCTCCATTGATGTACAAACCATTGTGCACCATCTATTATGATTTCTTTTGTTTTTTTCGTGTTGAGGATGAGGTCGTTGTCCTTGCACCAGGTTGTTGGTGCCTGAACCTCCTCTCCGTATGCAGTTTTATGATTGTTGGTTATGAGTCCCACTATGATTGTGTCATCTGCAAATTTAATGAGCGTTTTGGAAACATGGGAGGAGTTGCAGTCATGTGTGAACAGAGAATAAAGGGATGGGCTAAGAACACAGCCTTGCGGGACCCCAGTGCTGAGAGTGATGGTGGAGGAACAGTGTTGGCCAAGCCTGACATGCTGGGGTCTGTTAGTTAGAAAGTCTTTGATCCATCAACAAAGACTGGCTCCCAGACCTAGTGCTTGCAGTTTGGTGACCGATGGCAATTAGTGACTAAGAGTTTGTTTAGTTACAGATTCATGTAACTCTCAAACGTGACTTAACCTTCACAGCCTAAAATCAGAAACACTTTTAATGATTTTGTTTTTAATGATGCTTTTAAAATTGTTGCAGGTAGGACATGGCAAACTAGGCCTTGCAGGACTCCCCCAAGCTCTTGAAAAAATTGCATTGATGATCTAACCAGTGTTTCAGTTGATATGTGTTACATAAAGGTTACATAGGTCATCTGGCAAGTAAAGCAAACACAACCGGACAGTATTACTGGCTTTGACAGTGGACATGTATGATATGCTCACATGCTTTTGTTACAGGTGTGAATTAGTGACCGAGACAAAAGAGAGAGAATTAGTGTAAAAATAAGGAAACTCTTGCGTGTCTGTCCAGAGAGAGAAATGCTGGTGTAAGAATTCTCCATCGTCAACTGCACTTAATTGTCATTGACGTACATCGGCATGGCAACTGCAGAAACAAACCATGAATATGGTCCACTTTGAAATAGGTTACTTGCATGAAGTAAGATATTCAGTGCTTTACGCACATGATGGATTTTGTGGTGCGATTCTGAATGTGCTCAACTGTTTTAACTGGCGCTGTATTCATTTATTTACATGCCCTACTCAGAGCGAAAGCCTATCAGTGCTGACATAGAATAACAAGGCTTACTCACAGTTTGTTGACAAAGTGCTCTAGTAGCAACAGAAAGCCTCTGGTGTTTTTTTATAATTCTGGATATAATGCAGGCATGTGGAAACAAGAGAAAAATGTCCTCAGCTGGCTGGAATAAAACACTGTGATCATAAACAAAGAGCAAAGACATTTTTTGTAGCGTAGAGGAAATCTTTTGAGAGATGAAAAAAATATTTTCAAAGGCAAACCAGACCCTGTTTCTGTATAGACACAGAAAACATGAGATGGTGTGTTGAACTGGATTGTAAACAAGCTCAGGGTGAGAGTCCTGGGTCCCATCCAGATCAATAGTGGCTGGAATGTGCCTGTGGGACCTCCAGGGCTCCAGAGTGGAGCTGTACTTCCAGACCAAATAAGGACAGGAGCAGCAAGACCCGTCAACCAAAACGAGAGGAGGCCAGCCAGACTGAGCTGCCCAGGGATGAGAAGCAACAGGGGCTGTCACATCCTCATTCTGTCTACAAGTGTCCATATAGGTACAGGCTGTGAGCCTAATTGTAGCTTTGAGTAGGACAACTGACGTTTTGGTAGCACCTGATTTAAGTGGCAAAACCTTGGCTTCTATATGGAGAGAGAAGTAGTGAGGAAGAAAAGAAGAAATAAGAAAAAGTGCTCAACAAACAGACATAGGAAAACTGGCGAGCAAGTGCTGGTCAAACAGCTTAGGAGCTAGTTCCCAAAATCTGACCAATTACTTCACTCCTGGGGCGGTGTCTGTCCATTCTCCTCCCTCTGCCCCCTCCCACATGGTTCAAAATCTCCATCACTTTGATATTGCTTTGCTCTTTAACTGTGTTCCCCGCAGCCTGCAGTTTACTGCCTGTGCTGTTATCTCACAGCGGGGAGACATTATAAGGTCATGCCACTAAATGTTGTGCTGGACGGTCCGGCCCCCTGGGGGTTTCGCCTGGCTGGAGGAAAGGACTTCAACCAACCCCTGACCATCTCCAGGGTGAGTGAGTGATGAGACGTCTCCATTATATAAAAAAAGATGAAAAGTGGTATAGGACTCAGTTTGCAAAAAAATATATCTTCCTTTTAATAACTAGATCAAAACAAGTCTTTACTTTTTACTTCCTTACTAGTTTGATGATCAAGGATTTGACAATGTTTCTGCTGTTGTGGCACGTCTGCCAAACATCTAAAATATGAATGTGCTTTAATCCTTTGGTGGTCCAGTCCAGAGGAGTGAGTGTTTGCGTTAGCGTTAACACCGTCTTTCCAGGAGGGTTCATTCTAGAAAGAGTCTGTCTGGACTCAGTGTGGTATGGGGTTTGCACCTGTGCTACAGCAAATGCAAGAGGCTTAGATACAAATAGCAGATTACATCGTACTCTGACATGTGCGCACACACACACACACACACAAATGTCTCACTGAGTGGATTTCAGACTGAAGAATTTGGAAGCACAGTGAGGTCACGACATCGTGCCTGAACAGTCTTGAGTGTGTTAATCAATTCTGACTAAAACCTGATGAAAAATGTGGACTAAAAGAAAGCTAGAATCATCCAGCTGTAGAATCCACTTCATATGTTTAGACAGACTTGTTTAAATCCTCCACACATGCAGGACATCATTCTGAAAGCCGAGTTAACACATAGATGACTGAATTTGACTGGAGAAGATGAGGACAGTGTTAGTGTATGTGCACCTATTATAACGGTGCAGCTGTTCCAGAGCTAGTAAACTGCAGCTTGAGGTCAGCATGCAGCATCATGCCACTTGTCATCACTGCAGACTGAGATGACAGATTACATGTGTAAAATTAAACCTAACTATAAAGCAAACTCACAGTTACTTCACTAAAGATACTTGGTTAGAAAGAAAAGGGCAAACAGTTTAGAATGTTTTGGCTGCTGATTCTGATTTGTTAATTAGAATTTATCTTCATCTGTTGATGAAAATGACTATTTCCTGGAACTTGTTTGGTATTTCCTGTTTATAGTCCACAAAAACAGCCAAACAACGAAATCACATGTAGCCATGAAATAACCAGGCAGTTATTATAAGACTTTATTCCAAAAGTTGTTTAACATTTTGGGAAAGTAGATGTTTTTCTTATTTACTTTTAAGAGTTAGATGAGAAGATTAATACCACTCCCGTTACTGTACAGTAAATATCTAGCAAGGGCTAGTGACCTAGCTTAGCACAAAGACTGGAATCCGTGAGTTTTAAAGGTGTTGGTAGGCAGATTTTGTTACTTCTGAACAGGCTAGGTGTTTCCACCTGTGTCAGGTCTTTATGCTAAGCTAAGTTAAGAAACAAAGGAAGGAAATACAGAAGAGGGGAATTGTTGCATTAGGGAAAACACAAAAAAATATATATGCACAGAATTACATGACATAGAGAAACATGAACATGAATACCAATCTAGAGTTTCCACTGTAGTATAAAATGTCTGTATTTTCCTTTATTATGCATTACCTTCTTTTTTTTTCTCTCTGCAAAGTAAACATTCTGAATAATGAACAGTTGTGTCTTCATCAGCATTCAGACTTTATCACACAGGATCAGATGTGAGGAGACCCAGTAATCCTGCTCTGTTGGGGTTACGTGTGTCTATATTTAGGGAAAGACCTCAGGAATTATCCTGACCAAATGCATAGTTAGGTCTCTGAACCACTGGCTCTGTCCAATAACCTCACACCTGTTGTGTTAGCGGACACTCAGTGGCCCATATAAGAACAGTGATGAGAGAAGACTGGG